TCAAAATGGTGAGTTTGAAAAACGAAACAACGATTTGAACGAGAAACAAGAAAGTATAACTTTACTGAAATGTGATTATTGTTATTGAACAATAAACCTTGTTACAGGAATACACAAGGGAGTCCAATGCCATTAATCACAATATAGAAGTCTTCATTGAACTTTTTGTTCAACTTAGAAAAAAGTCAAAAAAGGAGCAGAGGGTATAAACGACTGAAATACAATTTTGTGGAGAAAATGGTTTTAGAAGAGACAATAGCGTCATTCAAATGAGTAAGTTACATTAGAAAGTTTTAAAAAAATGCATATGGCTGCCCCTTGAGACTTGAGAGCGCCATTTTTATTTTTACCCAACTCCTGATCCCTTCACCTAAAAGACAAAATATTCACAAATGAGAGTCTGCAATTCTTGAATTTTATATTTCCAAAATGAAAAATATGTACTGAGGAAAAAGATTCAGTGTTACAAGTTCACTAATTGAAAAATCCTGTTTCTTGATCTTGCAATGAAAGAAAAAAATAAAGAAATTAAAAAAGAAAAATTAAATAGAAAACCAAGGAAAATATCAACACTTCACAAGTGCCTGAAGAACAGATAACTAGCAGAAAAGTCACTGCAAAGGCAAGAAAAATCTTCACACCTTCTTCAATTCAGGTTGTCTGCTCCTAATTGAATGTTCTCAGACACCATCTATTGGACTAATAACATGACCTTAATTACTGTTTGATATTCTTGACTCTTGGGTCATCATCACGGTAAACTGAAACAAAGAAAAACAAAGAAAATACGTCAGAAATAACAGTAGACTTACAAAAGTAGAAAGTGCTAAGGTAGCCACATACCTACCGCGATGTAATATCCTCATGGGAAAAGCCAGGGATAACAATAGTTTCAGAATTAATGATTAAATTTACTAAATCATAATATGTAATATAGACATCCCTAGAAATCAACACTGTACCAAAATGAGAAGAAAAAAAAAAATGAGTAGCATGTTAATTTCAGGGAATTTTGACGACTTTGTTATAAATCCAAAACAGGAATTATTGTAAAAAGGAGTCTTCTCCTTGATTNGGGGGGGGGGGGGGGGGGGGGGGGGGGGTGCTCACTGCCAGCCCCATTCAACTAAGTTTGTGTGATACGTAATAAAACTGTTACTTAGGTATCAACTTCACAAAAGAAAAAAACTACACAGACACTTGAGTGCTTGAGAGGATCAATTTCAGTTATTACATCTCTGTTATTCTGCTGTGTTGCATAGGAGAGCCAAAAGTACGCTCAGAGCCTAGAAGGGCATATGATCATATATTGATGGTAAAACCAAAAAATGACTCGATTTTTGATGGTTCTGAGTTACCTGCATAACTGAGCTGTGGGAGATGTCTTTTGTCTTCCATCAAAATATTTTATTAAAAAAATCCGGAAGTTACCCAGATGGTACTTCAATTACTTCGTTTCTTGGTGCTAAATCTCAAAATGCATACCTCGTGCTCGTGCAGGCCTCTGTGTGATTCTATTAACTGCATAGAAAATCAATGTTCATGGAGTGATCAAATACAAGGCCGACTCATCTGTAGTTACCTCTACCGCTGCCGTTGCTCTACAAGCGCTGTGTGAATGCTCCTTGATTTATTCATCAGAAACACAGTCCAACATTGCAATTAACAAGTTTTTGGGACTAATAGATGCTTCTGCTGAGAAAATTTAAGCACTATTTTCTTCGCATCTTTCTGTTCGGCCTTGATTTGATTACTTGGGCAAACAATCGACTCAAAGCCTCAATGTTAAATTTTTGTATCTTAGGAAACCGTGTCAGTTCTTGAATTAAGAAACGAGAATCTCAGTATTTCTGCCAGATTTCCTGACAGCTCAAAAGTTGTTCAAAACGGTGATGAAATCTGATGGAGCATTGTATCAATCCTCGAGTGTTATTCCCCATTTACTGAAAATATTGAGGTATGCGGATGGACAGATTTTTTTGCTCTCCTGAAAAATTGTGCTTGTCAAGATTGACACCTTTGGAGTTTGACCATTGAAATTCTAAGCACTGATCCGCTGTTGAGGCTAAAATGGACTTACTGCTGTATTCTGTAACATGAGTGCTCACCACGAACATACATTGACAACCCAAAAAAATAAATACATCTTGTATCTGTCACATACCTATAATACGTTTCAATGCAAGTTTTTCATAGGTAAGATCTCGATTTTTTTTTTTTTAATACCCACACTAATTTGTTCAACTTTGGACAAAATTTTCACTCCTAGAGATTCAAACAGACCTCTAGACAAGGTATGCATTAAAGTACAATGCTGCATGTTTTCTTCTCAAAATACCACAACGGGAAGTCTGAAAATCAACTCCTGAACAAGATATAGGTAAGTGTTTTTTTATTCACACTGGTTAAATGGCAAAAATACAAATGACACCACTTGTATAATCAAATTTCCATTTGATTTGTGTTTAAAAGACTTGTTAATATCTCGTTCTAACGTTGATTTCAAAACTTCCTGTTGTGTGGACTGTTTTCTGTATAGGATTTTGAAGATAAAACAAGTGGGTTTTCTTCTACTTCAAACTTTGTCTAGTGGCCCATTAGGAATAAAGGAACTTTGAGACTGACAGTGGATAGAAGCCAAGCACTTCTCGCAAAATTCCCTGACTTTCCATGTTGTTTAAACCGACAGAAGCTCTGTATTGGAACTACTATCATTGCAATGATACTGAGAAATTGCAGTTTCTTTTATCTGGCAACAAAAAAATCCTGAAAATTTAAAGTTTCAATTTTTACATACATACTTAAAATATGAATGGACTGTCTAACCTGTGTATGCAAATTTATATCTTTTTGTGTCTGCTCCCAAAGCAGTTAACTGATACGCTCTATAGCCAAACCAGGTAGAGGTCACCACAAACAATCCCAATGAAAGCACAAGCATAGTTTGTTCCTTGAAGGCATATCTGGCCAATTTAAGAGCTATGAAATAAAAATGAACATAACCATGAATTACTTTGTTATTTGTCTGTATAGATAGAAACAATGGCAATACCATGAACAAATTTTTATCAGTTATCATGCTTCAAAGTTTCTGCACCTTTTATTATTGTCAAGGAAACAAGTAAAAAATCTTTCCTACAAGTCACCTGGAATGATAGTAATGATTGAGCGAAGAAAAATGTGAAGGGAAAAGATTCTCAAAATATAAAATAGATCATTTCATATGTCCAGAATTGCGTTACAGAAAATTTGTGACTTGTAAGGTCAATGTCATTTTGGCACTTGCAGAGACATTACATTTAATTTTTAAAATATCTTTCAGAAATTAGAAGCAAGTTCTCATACAAGGTACTCTTAGGGTAACCTCGAGCTCTAGTGCTTATTGCCTCGCTGATCGCTCCTAGATCGTCCCGCCGCGCCGAGGTAACCCAAAATTCTCGTCTGGAGTACCCGCTCTAGGAGCGAGAAGCAAAGCAATAAGCACTGGAGTTCGAGGTTACCCTAGGTACTCTTACTTCTGCTTAATATTTGACTTGTTAATTGAGAGGTTGCATTCTAAAACATTATTCTAGCAATAATAATGGCTTTTTGGCCAAGTTCCCTCTAAAATTGAAGAGAAGTATTATAAATACTCTTTACTAACTCCATTGCGACTGGAAAAGTAAGTCGCCGATAGAAGTTCGATTGCCTTAATTATAGTACAAAGAGCTGTGGATAAAGTATGCTGATGGCTATAGTCAAAGCACACTTATCTCTACTTATAACATTGCAAATCTCTTCTAGTTTTGAAGTTTAAACAAAAAACTCACTATCAGTTTTCTCAAGTACTTATTCTTCTAAAGGAAATAAACACTAGTTTTACTTATTGTTTGTTTACCGAAAATCCATAGAGAAAAAAAAGGAGGTGTTTGCATCTTGAGGTTTGTTTGCCCTGTAACATAGGTCCGTGCAACCTGGCAAGCGAAATCCGGAATCCGAAGTAAAAAAAACAGACTGTAATGTCCCATCTTTTGGCTTGAATCAACTCAAGATATAATTTCAAGCACTTTATAAACTTAGAATGACTTTTTTCCATCAATTACACCATTTCAAAGAAAATCAATGATAAAAGTCGCTGTGCCGACCTACGTTATCAAAAAAATTCCAAGATGTCCGAAATGCAAACACCTCCTTTTTTTCTCTATGCCGAAAATCCACCTTGACAGATGTGAATCAAAAGCTCATAATTATTTGTGTGAGCTCAATCGGTAACTTAGAATGCTAATCAAGAGATTTAAGTTGAAATACTTGTAAAAATGTTGCTTCCCAGTTTCTTATTTTAGAAGAATAAAAAATTATCAGTGCCATGCTCTCAGAGAACCTTCCTCAACAAGCAACTAGGCAAACCTAGGTGCTTGGCTTGATTTGACCTTACGCGTGTTACTTGTACTTTGCAGACTGCTTGTGCCAAGAGTAGCAGACATCAAAGCATGGAGTGGCGAATTTATCAGGTCATAAAGTTGGCTAAAATTCTAAAGACAGTAAAAGAACTTACGATGATTCCTTAGCTCTTTGGGAATACGATAAGCCCTTATGTAGGGGAAAGGCATTTTGAAGATTTGTTGAGAGACTAGTGATAACTAAATGAAAACTAAATTACACCGAAATTTACACAGGAAATGTACACTACACTTTCCTTATTGAGAAAGGATGAGGCAGCTCATGAGATATTGCTTTGCTTCTCTCATAAGAAATTATTTAATTTGATGATAACGATAACACTAACACTGTGGATAACACTGAAATTAGCCTTTGAGAGGTTAGGAGCTTGCTTATTTTTCAGTTCACCCCCTCTCCGCCCACAGTGGGATGGGATATCATCAAAGTTCAATTCGAGATATCGTCTTCTATCGATAGCCTCTTCTAACACGGGCAAAGCGTCAAAAGGCTCGAATCTCGATGACGACCATCACGATAGTATCATATCGAATGACTCTCCACTTTTTTTTTGTTGTTTTTTGTTCGTTTCGCGTTTGCGTTCGTGAAGACGATCTGACGATTCGCGTTCGCGATGTCTTTTCAGAGTTTAGACTAATGACCCACTAACGATTCTAAGTACTTACAGTTTATATTCTTTCAAAATATCACCGTTTTTGTGTTTAGATGTCAGTATTGTGTCTTATGTGTAGTAATTGTGATGATAAGAACAGTGTGTCATCTTGTCCCCGAACGTGAGCTGATGATGAACAGCTTTTGATAGAACGAGGATTCCGAATCTCCGCCATGCTCAGCTATCGAAATTTCCTCACAATGAGAGCTGCGAAATGAATGTAAATCACTTTTCCAGGCAAGTATTTTCTCCGAAAGTTTCCTCAGCCATCATTTTCGGGAAAGAGACATTTCCGAGTGCCCTCATTCTGGCCCTGACAAGCCACCTGAGCTTTGGACTTGGCTTTTGAGCTGAAACCTAACATATTGTCAACTTTTTAGTTTTCAACTCTCTTCCTTTTGCAATCTTAGAGTTCCTGGCCACCTTGCAGATTGGAATTGTTGTGTAGAGTGGAATTTTTTGATTCGCCTAACATCTTCTCTCTTTCAAAGCTCTGTACTTACGTAAAGTTCAGCAAGCAGCCTTGATCGTATCTTATTCCTTTGTGCGGCAAAACCCCAGAATAAGTGGGCTTAAGCCGCTATTATCTCAAAGCTTGACACGGAATTCATAGGGCGCTAAATAGCTTTATAGTTTCATACCATTCTCCTTCAAAGTCATCTCGGTTATTTTAAAACATACGGAAGTGTAATGATTCCGCGAAAGGAAATTATACTGCGGTCACTACAGTCCTGAGAAGGAATCTACAACTTGAGAGGTACCTACTGGTTCATTGACAAGAGTGAAAGGTGTCATTTTATTTTTACTGTGATGGATATCATCAATAGCTTAGTTAGTGATTATGACACATTGGATATAAAAACTTGCATTCTGTGCTATGAATACAAATAAATAAATCAATATCAGTTGAATAAGTTAATATCGTTCGTCTGAATCAGTTTTACTTTTCATCAATATTTGTTGTATCTAATAAGGTTCTTGGAAAACCATGGTCTAGGACTGGATTTTTAATCAAGAAACTTCCTTGAAACCAGAACGATTGTATCTTTGAAGCGTTATGCCGGACATCTGTTAGAAAGTGCAAGGAGACAAGAAGTTTTTTTTTTGGTTTCTCATGAGATCATTGACTTTATGGAAATATTCTTGGATTCCTCATGGAAGATCTCAAAAAGCATATTATTTCATACACAAGGAAAAGTAAGGTAGTTCCTTTGAAAAATTGATAATGGCCAAACATCTCCTTGCTGTTTTACCATCCTGTGATCAGAGAATTGAAATTAGACAACCCTATCATGCATATCAGTTTAGTGACATCAATTGGAAATTTTCAGGAACTGATAGAAGGAATGTCATTTTTGGCGCAATCTCCAAAGAGCGCCTCCAGTATGACAAGTGAAGTTGCTTCCTCTGTGGCGACTGCTGTCACTTCACAAACTCCTTTGATGCAACCGGCTCTCAAGTCAATATTCCTCCAAACAAAATTTTGTCAAGCAATAGCAGGAGTTTGCGTCTGGACTGCTTTGTTTCTAACCTGTCAGCAGGTAAATACTTATTCATTATCTTAATGTCAAAAAGTTTACTAATGACGGAGTAGTTTGAGATCCAATCATATTGATTTTTAAAAACTGCCGTGAAGAGGTTGGCCTTCAATTTTTTTTATTTTAATGTAATATCTTAGGACAAACAATGACTCAGTTTTTGTAATAAATAACTTTTATTTTCACTCTCTTTAGAGTTTGTAGTAGATCCATTCAATCTTGAGATGAGTTGAAAACACAGACACCTCTTTCTATCTCTCTCTCTCTCTCTTTGTAATTATATTTTCGGAATTATGTTTTTGTGAGTGTATCGACTTATATTTTGTTAAAATTTTAGAGTGGTGATCAAATGCATTACCTAATTCAACCAGAAACAGCCTAACCACAATTATTTTTCATATTTTTCCTTGAGAAAATTTAGCAACATAACACATTAAAACTTTCTACAGATTTCCTCTAAACTACAAGAAATATAAAAACAAATTTCAAGAAATATTGGCCTGCTTCTTAAAATCAAAGTTCCTATTAGCAGTAGGAGTCTTGCATTAATAGTTAGCTTTTGCCACTTTTCCACTCTTTTTCCTGTCCCTTCTTTTGGTCTTGTTTTGTTTTTTATTTCATTTTGTTCACCAATTTCTGTATACTTTTTTTTATCTGATCGAAATGGTTTGTTATTGTAATATTGTCTGTTATAGGATAAATAAGTAGGTAAAAAAGTTTACAGACCTGTAAGGTCTGAAAATATGATGTAGCACAAGTATACCTCTATCACAAATAAATAAATGGAAATAAAAAGAGAGAGAGAGAGAGAAAGGAGAGAGATGACTCACAGAGCCTTAGTCTTGCGTTCAGATGTATTATTACTCTTTCTGCAAGTAATCACCCCTCTTCTTCTCAGAAATCTGTAAATTTGCCAAACGTGTTAGAGGTCCATGTATAAATTCAATGCGAGCTTGTCAGGCAAATTGATTGTACTCTTGTTCCCAAGGAGCAAATATTTAACTCCATGATTTTTCCTATTTACAGATTTATAGACACCTTCAGTGGTACACAAATCCAGCAGAGCAAAGGTGGATCATCCGAATCCTTTTTATTATCCCCATTTATGGACTCCATTCATGGTTGAGTCTGCTTTTCTTCAATAATGAGAACTATTATGTTTACTTTTTTACTGTAAGAGATTGCTATGAAGGTAAGTTTGTGGTAACATCTACTCAAGTCTTCTGATAATTGCATGCTTTACATTCATTTATTCCAGATTTTACAAAAATAATTTGTTTTATAGAGACCGCTCATACTGCTAAAACTCATCTTCAAAAGATCAAAGCACTTCTTTCACTTAAACTGCTCCATGAAATGTTAGGTAGAAATATTTTTTTTAATTTATTTATTCATTTTTATTTTTGAGCTGTAGTTGTCTATTGAAATACAACGTGATTTAAATTTATGCTCTTTATTCGAACCTTCAAGATATCATTGGCAAAATTCAGACAACATCTGAGCCAAGAGCTTATTTTCTTAAAATAGAAAAAAACACAAATGCAGGAATAAAAAATGCCTCAATTTATTTGTAAACTAAAAGCTACCGATCACCAAGTAAATAGCATTGAAAAATCATTTCAAGGCATTCAATTACTGAGTACAGAAAATTCTATCAACGCAGGATGAAAGAAACCAAAATATTATTTGAGCTGAAATTTGTACAAGTCACGTACTTTGATATGTATCTACCCATTATATATACTTAAAGCTGAGTGGATTTAAAGTAAATAATGGAATTAAAAAGTAATGGAAAATTACTTTTTTTAACATTTTATTTAATTTTAAAGCTAATGATGACCCTGCAGTAGTTCAACAAGTACTTCATTTTTTTACTTTTTTCCAGTTTCAGTCAAGTCTATTTTATGCTTTTAGTTTTTTCTTTATACCTCGTCATGCCCTAAGGTTATAAAATGTGTGAAATCTCTCTATTCTCATTTTGACAATTGCTTTAAAGTGGTTCCTCAGCCACAAGAGCAGCCAGCTTTTTGGAGAGCAATTTGCCAGTCAATTGATCATTTCTGGATTTTTGGACATTCTGTCAGAGTTTCCTAGCATCTTATCATACCAGAGCACTCCAGTCATTTTTGCGCACATTTTGATTAAGAAACATGTTGAAATGACACCGAAAGTACTGCCCGCGTGTTTCTTGATCTTTTGCATGCCAATAAAAGGCTCACAGAAGCATGGTGTGATGTTGGAAATTCGTGAGAACTGTTCTAAAATCCAGAAATTATCAATTGATTGATGGACTATTGAATCCCTCTCTAAAGAGCTGAAGAGCCATCATAAAACTTAGAATAGATTAATCATTTTTTCTTAATTCGATTTGCAAATAGAATTATAATACATGTTTTCTGCTTGTTTCAGCATTTGTTATTTACAATTTCATGAGTTTATGTTACGAATATTTGGGTGGTGAAGGGAATATCATGAGTGAGATTCGTGGCAAACCAATAAAGTAAGTTTTACGGAATTTCATTATTCCACCATACTGCCTCGCTAAGCAAGAAATTAAGCATTTCTCTCTAGATTTTTTGAGTTTTTCCTCATTAGAACTTCCCTCATGAAAGGAAGACATGAAACCTGTGCAATGTAGGCTTTTTCAGGATTTTTAATTTACAGAAATTTTGGCGCAAAAACACAAACAGATTTTAAAGTAAATTGGGTTCTAATGATTGAATTTTGTATTTTGAAATAATTAGTTGAGAGAAACCGCGTTGCATTTTAAAAAAATTAGTCTTGAAAAACGGCGGTATTAGATTTTAATTAATCATGTCCAGAGTTCAAAATTGCTGGATTAAATTTCAACTATATGGCCTGTATTAATGCATAAACAAATTAAGTCGCTCACATTTATTCTTTGAGCCATCAGATGGTATTTTCAATAGAAAACCCAAAGATTCCTTAATCGTTGCTCTCTTTTTTGGCCTAGTTAATTAAGGTCATTTTTTCTGCGAACAGTCTCAATCATACCATTCAACTGTAATTTTAGTTTCTAAAACTTTCCTAATAATAAAGTCTCTTCTGTCTTCCAATCATTGAAATGAAGTGAAAGTAGTAATATTATTCTTTTTATAACTTTGAACGATGATGAATTTTCAGATCAAGCTGCTTGTATGGGACTTGTTGCTTGGTTGGGAAAACATACACAATCAGTTTTCTGAGATTTTGCAAGCAGGCAACTCTCCAATTCTGCCTGGTCAAACCAGTTATGGCATTTGTTATCATTATTCTGCAGTCATTTGGACACTACCATGATGGTGATTGGAGGTAAGTCAATTTAATAAATTCAGCTTAACCCATTGACTTATGATTTAATTTGACCCTGCCGGGCCAGGAATTACGATTTAATTTGCCGAAAATCAGCAACTTTGAACACTTCAAAATAATCCAGAAATTATTTCTCAAAGGGTGAAAATTGATAAAATAAGCATTCACAATACAACGTTTGAGAAAAATGGTGAAAACTTTGAACACAATGATTTTTTTATGTGTTTTATAGCTGTCAAAATCGCAAAATCAGCGAAAATCAGAAAATTTTGAGGTCATTTCATGTGCAAACGCACAGTAATATGAAAATACCGTAACAAAACAAGAAATTACCGTACACTATAAGTCATAGGATGGCCACACTACTCATATAAACATTGATGAGAACGCAATCTACCGGAGAATTGCCGAAATAACGCAAACAATCAGTGGACGGCTCTGAGCCGTCATTTCAGAGCTGGCCCAGCGCTGCAATGACGGCTGGGAGCCGTCATTTTAAGTCAATGGGTTAAAACTGTAAATAAGTCACGTATCAAATCATATTTGTAAAGTAATCGAAAAATGCAAAAGGATACCAGGTAACCATGACATGTTGCTAACTAAAAAGGACACTTGTTTAATAAATCCAATGATGGCCTCTGCTTGAAGTTGGCGAATCAAAATGTCTTTTTACAACATCCCCCTTACATTTTTTCTGAGCGAAATATAGTTTCTCTAAATGTTGTGTGGTATTAGAACCTGTCTCAGACAACTATTCCTGTTTTGCTACTTTCATAGAATAGGAAATTTCCAATTTGGTGCACACAGCAAAATAGGACAAGTTATCTGAAACGGACTCTATTTTGTTTTCTGTTATTGTGAACGATTGGGATCATACAATAGATAAAGTTAGTTAAATCTTTTGTTTACTCAGGTTAATTTTTCTTACTCCTCAGCCTTTGCAAACCTGGTCGGCAGTAACTGAAAAAAACTGCCTGTAGACGCGGAAAACTTGAAAAAGTGTGTTAAATACTATGCAGATTGCGAGCCAAGGAATGGATTTCAGACTCTTTGAACATGCCCAAAGTGATTTTTGTGTGGTTTTACCCACTTAGCGCGCATTTATTTGACTGTATCTCTTGTGTACAGCAGACCCATTGCGCTGCTTTTTACTGTGTTTAATACTAACATTAATATGGCTCTCTATTGTTACAGTTTGGATGGTGGCTATTTGTACGTTACAATCATTTACAATATTTCAATTTCTCTTGCTCTCTATGGCTTGTTCTTGTTCTACTTTGCCACCCGTGATCTCCTCGTTCCTTTTGAACCTGTTATCAAGTTCTGCACAATCAAGAGCGTCATTTTCCTATCATTTTGGCAAGGTGAGAAATCATTGAATAAAATCTTTAAAACCAATTCGACAAGTTTGTTTACCACTAGAATTTTCCTAAGGATCTGCACATTTGAAGCCTTAAATGTAGAAACAGTGGATGTTGTGTTTTCAAGTTTTGAGAAAATCACCTTTAAAGTTTTCAAAGCTGTGCCTTTCAATGTCCATGCAGAAAATACGATTTGGCCAAAGAATTCATTACAGAACGAATCCTTTTTAAAAAATGAGCTCCAGAAATTCAAATTTTAAGCAAATTTCAACGAAATTCAGTGATTTTAAAAAAAAACCTCATCCGCTGTTTCCACAAAGTACTTTTTATTAGGCCTAAAATGAACCACCTAGCTAATGTAAGAGAAGTAGAGTGATTGATATTTATCAAATTGTGATTACTGTTGAGTTTTTCAATGATTTTTTAAAAAAAACTTTAACTTATTATTGTGATGTGCTCATATACGCAATCCGAAAGGAGATTAATAGGTTTTAGCGAATTATTTAGCTAAATATTTATTATTTCAACGAATTTTGACAACTGCTGTTTTTAGATACAACACGCTTTTTTATTCACATCTTAATGAAAAATTATGCCAGAAGTCTGAAATTTAATATCAACACTCATGAAGGTTAGCGGATTCCTAGGCAATTCTAAGGCGTTATCCCTAAAAATGGTGGAGGTTCGATATCCTCTGTTTTTACAGATATGGCTTCATTTAATGAAAGATCGAGAGTTAAATATTCTCCTTGACGTACTCTTCCACCTTATAAGAAATGAAAAAGAGTGAATCAATGCTGAAGCTTGTAATGTAAGCTAATAATATAATCAACACATCAGTCACACATGCAGCTGAAGTCTATGCCGAATAAGTTAATGCACTCTCAGAGTGCGCCAAAGATCTGCCATCTTGATTCTTGCTGTTTACTTTCAATGCTAAACTGAAGACAGCTGATCTTCCATCGCATTTGAAAGGCAAGTAAACTTATTTTGCGTAGACGCCAAGTATACTAACTCACTGTTGAAAACTGCAAGTTGTATTACAATGAAAGGCGACAGGGTAAAAGAAAACCATGTAAACTGTGGAATAATTTGATTTGATTTTACTTTTTTCCTTTTTTTTTCTCCACATAAGAAATACCATCTGCTGCAGATTATTATTCAGTATCTTCTTAACTGTACTTGATTCTTTAAACATATTGATTTGAAGGTGGTCCTTTAGTGAAATGTATCATTAAATTTATTGTGATAATGATTGGTTACAGGTGTTTTGCTTGCTGTGCTAGAAAAAGCAAAAGTGATAGAGCCGTTAGTGGATGCATACGGTCAACCCACAAGCGCTGGTACAGTGTCAGCTGGCTACCAAAATTTCCTTATCTGTATTGAAATGCTCTTTGCATCACTTGCACTTCGAGCTGCATTCCCGCATCACGTTTATGAGGCCGGGTGTATTTCGGATGCTTCGGGGCGCAGTGTCACTATGCAGAGCATCTCAAGTAGCTTGAAGGTATGGATAATTTTTTCTTTGAGTCCTCGAAGCCAANTTTCATGTTTTAAAAAATCTAATATGACACCATTTTCTGGACAATGCCGTACTTTCTAATTGCCACTGCTTGGAAGAGTGTTTCATGAACACTTGGCACTGACAACGGCATTTTGTACAACTCGTTTGATTCTCAGTGCAATTCTCATGGCCTAAGGAAGCCTTAAAATTTAAAGAATGACTATGAACATGACCCTAAATATTCTTCTATATTGATAAGGCATAAAACACTTCTTAGCTCGGGTAACAAATTGAGGAATATACTTGAAAATTCAGACTGTTAGACTAACGAGCAATTATTTATTTCCAGGAAACAATGAATCCAAAGGATATCATGACTGACGCTATCCACAATTTCCACCCACAGTATCAGCAATACACGCAGTACAGCTCAGGTAACTTGCCCTGAGCAATAAGCAAGATGCATCCTGTATTCCTCAAGAGCATGACGTCCAAACAACTCAAACTGCATGAAACTTCACCAGAGCTCAAAAGCATGAAAACAAGGAATGGGAGTAAAAGTGCATGAATAGGACTGATTTAGTCAGTGTTGAAGCATTCTCAGTTGAGCTTTTGACAGCAGTGCAAAGTTTTATTTTATTTTACTTTATTCTAGAATTTAATCCTTTTAAGTAGGGTAGAAACTCGGTCTATTTCTCTCTTCGGTATCTCATTTATTCGAATGTAGAGACGGTGTTTTACTTTATCCTGCGATTTATTCTTTGCTATTATTTGCTATTAACATAACTCTCATCTAACCTCCCTTGACTTTTGAAGCATTTTTCCTTTATTTGGTATCATGTACTTGAAAAGTTTGATACAAAATTCTAAAGGGTTGCTAATAATCTCCCCTTTCCATTTGTGTCTATCAAAATTAAATAGTATCAAATAATTGTGTGTTCAAAATTATAGTATATAGAAACTTTGGTTTTTCCAAAAATGAGAATTACATGGGACTTGAAGACAACTTCTTTCCATGTCTACAAAGACAAGATTCTATAATCATTCTCGATTTTACTTATTCTCACGTTTGATGTTCAACAAGTCGCTCAACCTCTCGTATTGTATGAGAACAAAACGCAACTCAGGCTGGAATATTAAGGATTAAACACGAGGGGACAAACAAGGCATTCTTAATCTTATGGAAATATTTAGGAGCTTAGTTAATTTCAAGATTTAGTCTCATAAAATAAGGGAAAGCAGCTCATACAAAAACAGTTTAAAAGTCTCCTCAAATATATGTACAAATTTTAACTGTGCAACCCTCATTTGCATAACCTTTTCTATGTATCTAAGCAGATGCGTAATGTATGTCTATAAACTGTTATATCTATGCATGTTTTTCTTTTCTCTTCTTTCAACTTTTCAAAATCATGGTTGGGTTCTCTCTTTTTGATCTCTTTCATATCATTAACTTCGAACTTGGTTACTAACCCGGCTTTTCAAGTTAAAAACTGAATCAAGTTTTGTTTCAATTTAGAAAATACTTAAATCTTTTGTAACAGCATTCCCTTAAACAACACACTTAATAAATGCAAGACCAAACTACAGAGGTCAGTCATTCCTGAGGACGGGTTTTGGAACTCTACTGCGCAGTGACGAAGTATTGAGTGCATGCAATGTATTTCTTATGGGAGCAGCCAATGTGGCGTAGCATTGAGTGCGACCGAGTTTTGGTCGGACAGGGAAGTAGATTTTAAAAAGATGTGCAATGACTGACTTGTGTAAATTGGTCTTGATAGTATGTTTCTTGTTAACACCGCTTAGTCCTAGTTTTAAGGGATGTTCATTGTTGATCAAATAAAGTAGTCGGAAATTAAGGTGCTGTAGCTTCTAACGGAAAGTCTTCAGGTTGTCTTTTCTCCTGCATCAAACATTGAAGCCAAAGTCACTATTTGACTGAATCCGGATTTCATTAAAACTCTCAAGAAAATTAATACCTAAATTGAACTCTTACTCAACACTGTAATAAAATTTTATCATGGCCGTAGTACGTCAAGGAAACTCACTTTAAATTCAGCAGCTTTCGAAAAGTTTTGAAAATCGTCAAAAAAGCTTCAACAGGATGGATTTGAGTAACTATTACAAATTTTTAGCTCATAGCTGCAATTCCGGAAAATCGAATTGCATTGTTGTAGTAGGTAACCAAAAATTGCCTTTAAAGTCTAGCCCTAAAGTGGTTACCACTTAAAAATATTTTGACGTGTTTAAGTTTTTCTGATGTTGGTTTCCATCAAAATGATTACCTAGTTGTTACTCATAATTTTATTACACAATCTATCTCCTGCATTTGTATGCGGGGAAGCTGTTTTATTATCACATTTTTTAAAGACATTGATTAGATTCAATTTTTTTTTCTTCTTTCGTCGCCAATTTTATTACTTGGCTTTAACGCAACACTTACATTAAGCCCTTTGGTTTTTTGGAATGATTTTAATTTTGCATGAATTTTTATTATTTTGTCTCCGTTTTTGTTGTTTATTTTCTCATTTGAATTTTTCTTTGCAGATGTGAACTCTGCCCAGCCGTACGAAAAACTGTAATTTCTGAAAGCCATTTTTCATCGATTGTAATGCTTAATAAGTTGATTTTATACTCTGATATCTCAACTAATAATTGTGATTCCTTGGTCAGGGTAGGTACTCATCACTTAGCTTAAGGTTAAGAATCACAACACAATGCTCTCGAGTTGGAAAGGGAACTTTTCTTAGTTGAATGAATTATTCCTTCTCTTTGGATGAAATCCATTGTCAAATTCTTTGGTACTTAAATGTAAATAGTAATAGTGAGAGTATTTTAAGACAGTAGGTTTATGATAGCAAATTAGTAATATTCTTGTTTGAATGAAACTCATTAACAATCATTGAAGGGTTTGCTAAACAAAAATATTTTTGGGTTATATTCTCACGGATTCATTCCCGACAAGAATTTCCTCCCTTTTCTTCTAATGACAAAACCACAATACTCGCTAGAGAGACAAAAAATAAGAAATTAACTAATGTTAAATGACATCATTTATGGCATATTCCTTTTACGCAACAAACATGAGTTAAACTCCAGAATATCTATCGAGCCTGATGGGAAAAAAACTTTTTTTCTGTCGCTAAAGAAGTCCAACAAATTCTGTGAATCATCGAAATTTACTTGTTTTGATTTAATTTAAGTGATTTAATTTTTTGTGAAAAACCAGGGACAGGGGGAAGCATTTTCAGAAGCTATTCTTAAATACAGGAAGTTGTGAAGCCAATGTGCGCTGCAAATCAGCATAAAGCATAGGAGCTCCTGCATCTCCCTTTTTTAAGAAAGAGCAATCTTTTTCTTTTCTCCTCATCCCTGGAAAGAAAAGAGCCATGTTGTGCGTGGTGGTCCTATCAGTTTTGTTTCGCATGCATTTTACGAATTTTTTTTTTTTTTCTCATGCTTAATAAACTGCCCTCTATGAAGCATGCTGCCTTTCTAGTGTCTTTGTTAAAATATTCCGTCCCAAGTTACTATCAGTGTTGCATTATTTTAATCTGTTATACAAATCTGTAATTATTACCAAAGGTGCGAAGTAAATTTTCAAATGTACAAATCAAAAAAATCTGTAGTGTTGTTGACATTTTTTGTCAAGTCACAATTATTCGTTTTTCCTGCAAGTTAAAAATTCATGTATGAAACTTTTTTTTTTTGCGTGTTTTTGCTCTTCTTCTTCTATCATTACTACAGTCCTACATTTCACCCACCTTTTCCTCAGTTTCTGAGCCGAAGGATAAAAATTCAAAATTGTTTTTTGAACCGAAATGAGCGTGTTAAGTCAAAGTCTAAAAATTTGTACGATGCTACCCAACTTTTTCTTCCTTTTTTACATCTGAAATGATAATATTGATTGTCCTGTGTAAGAAAATTAGCCATTTCTTCCATTAATGAGCACGTTTTGTAAAATCTAAACCCATGATTAGTTTTAATAAGCTGCTACCCTCTTTTTCGTATCCAGATAAACAAAATTCCAACAGGCTATGATTTTTCATAACAGATTCTACAATTTCTGTACTCCGGTCACTGGTTGATGTTGAACAAAAGTTGCTTTTTACCCTCTTATCATTTCTGGGACTTTTCCGAATTTTGTGAGGGTCCTAAAATAAGTAGACTCCATTGACAGAAGCACAAACCCCAGTCATCATGTCAACAAAGTGAAACTGTTTTAGGAAGTAATGTTTACATCTGCAGTTTGTTGATGGAGTGGTTTTTGGAGTACGGATTCAATTTTTGGGAATATTGGAAGAATTCTTTAACATTGGCTTTCAATCAAAGTGGAAAAGTGATGTAAAGTTGCAAATGTTTTTTTCCCAATTCTTTTGAGGTAGGGTAACCTTGAATCAGGCTTCAAGAAGTACAAAGACACCGACCCAGGAAGAAAACTGTTGATATAGGTTTTCACGGAGCTTGCGCCTCTGTTCACGTATTTTATTTATTCTATGCTAAGGTACCCTAGATTCAAGATAGAGAAAAAGAATCTCTAATCACCATGGCAACTTGTAGCCTTTTTGTGCGAGTGTAAAATCACTCATTAGTTTCATTTCTAAACACGCAGTATTAACATTAAAAACTCACAAACTTTTTTAATGGAAGAAGTAGCTTTCATCTCATTTTTGGCTGTATTTTTACTTTAGTGTTAACCAGCGTTGTGCTTAAGATATAGTTTTATAAATGGGCATCTTAATTTTTGCATGTTTATTCTGAGCCCATCAAACGGCATGAAACAAATGAAAGTGCAAGAAAAATCTCTCTGCTACATCACATAATTTTGTCATATTTAAATCCTTCAAACCTTTTCTGGAATGTAGGTGTAATTAAAATGTAGGGATGATTATTATTGTGTGACCTTCAGTCACGATTCATAACTTTAGTCGTAGTGTTTAGGTTAAAAAATTTAAAATAATCGTTTTGAATTCAGTATGAATAGTTAGAGTGATTTTTTTTTATTTACTTGCACCTCTCAGTTTCTTACCCTGTTTGAATGAATAAAATTCCCTGTTGTTTAAAGTATTAACTTTCCATTCTCAGAATGTTTGTTTTTTTTTTTTCCACCTTATTTAGGAAGTTAGGAAAATTTTACTGTAGAACTTAACATCTCAGCTTAAATTTTTGTTTCAAAATTCCTTTGAAGACATCTCTCCCTTTTTTCCATTTTTTTAATTTTGTTTTGTTTTTCTGTGATCATATTCAATTTTCTATCAGTTTAAAAAAATATTGGTTTAAAAATTTGACTTTCCAATCCAACAGTTGCCCTATTGTTTGTTCCTGCTCTATTGCGTCTTTAAAGGAATTTGTGCTCTTGAAAGTTTATGTTTTAACTCATATTTTGCATTTTTTTTCTATATTTTTTTCCATTGTTGTATTTATTATTATTTTAATTTAAACTTTAGTCTATATTTTCATTTGTATTTCATCCTGATCTATTTTATTAAATTGTACTTTTTATATTTCCCTTTCTAAGTAATTATTCGACTCCGCTGTTAAAGTCTGATTCTCCTTTTTGTCAGCCACTCATTTGAATAAGAAGCTACAATTAACTGACTAACCTTGAAATATAAAATCCTGAAAGTTCGGAACCTCTATAAAAAATGCACAGTGTTAATTTCAGAAGGTTGATAATTTTTAATCTACTCCCTTTTTTTTAACCTCTATTTTTTTTAAATCTGCAAAAAAATGTCCATGTGCATTATCAAAAATAAAAATAGTTTAACAAAACTTACGAAAGTTTCCACTTAAAACATTCAAAGCAAGCAAACCGCGGAAAGATGTAAGTTTCATCTAAAACAATACCAATTCTCTAGTGAGAAGGAACCACAAGGCAAAGTCAGGATTATAGCATCACGAAACTCAAGTCCTCATCAAAATTGCATCCAAAAGATTGTTTACATACAAAGAAATTCCTAAAATTTAGACTTGTACGAGAATATAGCGTTTATAGTTAACATTTTAATTGCCCAATTATTCGAGGCACCTGCCCCAAAGGACCCAAACTGGTATAGATCTCTCGCCGTGACTTCGACTTAACATTCCAATGCAAACTGCCTAAGTTGAACACTCTCCCCCCCCCCCCCCCCCCCCTCGCCGTGACTTCGACTTAACATTCCAATGCAAACTGCCTAAGTTGAACACTCTCCCCCCCTCCTCAGTTTTGTGCTGGTACTCATTAGAGTTTAAACAAATTTATTTTTGATTCTAATTATAATTTTTGGAACTTCTTGGCTTTGATTTTCCCGCGAAATGGTGTAGACCCAGCACCATTTCTCCACCTTGTTACATACAGTATGTGTAAATTTAACAAGGAAAAATCACCCTCCCAGAAAATAATTAAATAACACTCTAAAATCATACTAACACGTCATCTGACACAAATAAACTATGTTGATTCACCGAGCGAGAAATTTGAATTGCTGAATAAAGATACTATCAATTTCTCATCTCTGATTGTGAGTTGATTTTCGAAAGTTCTCGAGTTCCTTCTGAAATTTTGGTAACAAAATATCTATCATGGTGTGTGTGTGTCTTACGCTTACTAAAAGATACATTTCAAGGGAAATGAATGTCGAGAGAAATTAGGTTCATCCATCCTTCAAACTGATAGAATTCCTCAAAAATAATCTTCACATTCCCTCAAGTTTTTTTAAATGCCCTATCAAATGCACGATAAGCGCATTACCTATCAATGTGCAAAAGAACTCAAAGCAGTTTCGTATGAGGAATGATGTGTTTGTTGACTCATTTGAAAATGAGTGGCTTGCTTCAAAAACAGCCGCCCAACCCCACTGTGTCGTTTTACTTTCTATTTTTACATTTCAAATATGAAGTACATCAGTTAATATGATCAATGAAAACACTCCATATTTTCATATTCTTTTCTTAAGGGAGAGCTTCAGAAAACCGCCCACTGGAAATATGCTGTTGTTTTCCTTTGATGAAAAAAACAATATGTAAGAAAGAACTGTAATGTAATAGGGTTGGGCAGTTTTCGAAACGAACTACTCAAATTTCATCAGCAAGGTGATAGTTGCAATCTTGTGTTTATTAATTGGACAAGACAAGACCTATGGTGAAACGGAGTTTTGTGATTGGTTGGCTCTTTCCGTTGTCCTTTTTATTGTCCCTACTTCGGGTGGAATCAACAGCAAACTATTTGTAACTCAAGAGGTGCCCTTAGATTGTAGTCGATTCCATATGCCAAAAGCACAAAAAGGAAGATAACTGAAACAGTTGACCAATCACTGTACTCCATTTTTTGCTAGTCTTGTTCTATCCAGCAGGAAAACAAAGAATGTCAACTAGCTATCAGCCCATTGAGCTCATTTCACATACGTACCCATTCTCTTTATGCTGCTTAAAAAAGGGGCCTTCTATGGAGCACTAATTTGGCGTAGAGATGGATGCATCGAAAGAGAATACTTTCCTGAAATAGCCTATCGCTCCTCTAATTCGTGTGTATGAAAGTTATTGATCAAACATTTGGGATGTGGCTAAATGCGAAAAATGCTTATCTCAATTGCAACGTTTTAAAATCTTTCATAATGTTTTGTTTTCCTAAAGGTGAACCGGTCTAAATGTTTCCTTAGAATTTTCCGAACAAGTGAAGAAGATTTACAGGAAATTAAACAAAAACCGTCCAAAACCATTTTTAAAATAATAAAATATGGGGGAGACTCACAACATCGCAATCTAGGATGTGCATTTTGCAACATCAGCCATTATTATGTCGTGGAGGGCATGAAATTGAAGGTATTTAACATGTTTTGGTGCTAATTTTTACAGGTAAAGGCCGTTCAGAAGCTGGCGGAGACTACACAAATGTACAAGAACAAAAACCGAAGTCAAAGTCAGCAAACGCTGGGCAGAAAGTCTCGACGATTAGCACTAATTACACTGAAAAAACAATGCTCTTGAGTTCCGACGAGGAGTCACATGAATAATCGTTTTATAGTCAGAGCAAAAAATCGTCAAATTATGTTCTAGGTTATTACGATCTCATGTCCTAAGTTCCTTACACTTTTGTCCCTCTTCTGAAGAGCCGGGTTGTTGTTCGTAAAGTGACTATGATGGAATCTAGCTTTACTCGCTCATGTCCACTACCCAATCTTCAGCCATCTCTCTTTTGTACAAGCTGAAAGGCTCACCACATCATTCTCTTGGAAGCATTAATCCTGCCATATCAGTTCAAATATGGTGCGGTAAATTTGAATTTCTGGCACTGATTCTTCACTGAGAATGATAAATTTTCCGTCTTAATAAATTAGATAATGTAACACATGGAAAAATTACATTGAAGATTGTTGTTTTGATCTTTAATAAGTAATTTTTATCTAATACATTGAAAATTTAGGAGCATGACATTTGATTATTGGAGTCGACTCCTATCACTGTTAATCCAGGCTTTAGAGAGGTAAGTATCTGTGCTAAAAAGTCTTAATTTCTTCTCTTGAGTCAATTATTAAAATACCAGAAATGACTTGCTGTGTTTTGATGGTAGAAATGATGCATTTTTGGAGCAACACTAGACATTCTACTTGGACTCTTGCAGGTCAGATAGTAAATACGGTTTATGTTACCATTGAATGGCACCTTAGAATTGAGCCGAAGCTGTTAAAATTCTACAGCAGAAAATTCAAGGATCCAATCATATTTATAAATGTAAGCGAACTCATCTACACTTTGAAGTGTTTTCTTCCGTCTCTATTATTAAATGTTATTTTAAATAAATTGTGTATATCTTCTTCTTTTTTCCTATTTCCTTTAGCATATGTTGGCAATTCATCACACCCACAAAATTATATTAAACAAGTAAGTAGGTAATCAAATAAAGTTCATAATTCAGCATAGGAAAGAAGGTATTGCTGACGAAGTTATAGAATAATTTAGCATTCAAATAAGAAAACCCTGTGACTTCATTCACAGTGCAAACTTCTTGTTGCATTTTACTGTAAGGACGAAAATATTAATTTTAACATCATGGGTGGCAGTAGCCACCTCTTCGGACAAAGTCTAAACTCGACAACAATAGAAGCGGCCTGAAGAAGAAAGGTGACATTTTTCTTAATTCTAATCCATTCAAAAGTATTGAAATTTCATTTTTAAAAAAAAATTGGTTGTGTTCAGTCAAAAAGAAAATTACTTGTTCATTGAATTCACTAAAAAAAATTCCAACGCGCCCATCATAGAGCCACCACACATTGAATGAGAAGAAAAAGGATCGGAGGATCATCGCACAAATGATTCAGAACAGTTTTAAAGACATATATAATTTATTTCATCATTATAACAATATATTCATCTCTATGATTTTAAAATTTACTTGAACATAACACATCGTTTTTTATAATAAAAAAGGCAGCCCTTTGATACAAATAAAAAAAATCTGATGAAAAGTAGTTGAAAAGTTGCTGCCTGTAAATACTTGCATTAATGAATGGACTAAGAGGTTACACAGAACGGTTTGTCCATTTAAGAAAATACATCGATTAAGGGAGAAGACAAGGAACTGAGAATTCTGTAAATTAATTTTCTTTTTTGATAGAATAGTGCTAAAATTTTAAAAAATTATGATTCGACTGTTGTAGCACTCTTTGGTAGAAATTTACTCTTATAGACAGTAATCTTGAATTAAACTCACAGGGAAAAAACGAGTTTGCACTTGAGTCATAGGACCGGTGAGTAAATTTGCGTTAACAAACTTTTTAACATCCCACATGCGCCAGTTTAGGGCTGGAACAAAGGCCGACTGCCAGGATATGTTGCGGCTGTAAACTGGCAGATGTGGGAAACAAAAAGTTAGGTACAGCAAATTTACCTATACGCACCTCATGTCTCTGATGCAAACCGCTTTTTTCCATGTAACTGGAAGAGGGAAATTTTCTAAATTTATGACTACCTGGATCATCTAACACAATAGGAAAAATTGTTCATTATCCCCTGAAAGCCAGACATATTTAAGATACAGTGAAAAGATGAATCAAATCAAGACACTTAGGTTCAGTCTCACAAAAAATGTTCTCACTCTCTTTTCATGTAAGTATCACTTCTCATTAAAGGATACTTGACTAAGGAATGAAGGTCATTGCAATAAATATTCTAATCAATAATTCATAGCGGTACGATACACATGACTGAGAATAAGTCGGAAAATAACTTGTTTGCAACTTAAAACCTGGGGAAAAACCCTTACATCACGATGATTGGAGGGATTAAAAGTGAACCGAGATGAAAGATGCTAGGTACCTTAGCCCTCAATACAAGGCTATAATGTAAAATAAAACATCAATTACTATGAAACAAGTTAGACTGTTAGACAGCATTTCATGAAATCCAAAGATCAAAGTGACTGCTAAGGTTTATACATAATTGTATGCAAATTTTATAAGGAAAAGATGATTTTCATCATGGATTTTTATTATTTTAAATTATTTTCTTTTTTTTCAGAAGTTTAAACATTTGAACTAAAATTTGAAATAAAACATTGTTCCATGCCCAAATTTCTAGAGCCGAACAACCCAATTAAAAGGTCTGAAAAAAACGTGGATTCATGGGTGGGTTTTTAAAAGAGCCAGTCTGTCAGAAGTTGCTATCAAGGTGACTCAATATTCTCATAATAGTAAACCTTGAAGACTTGAGACATTAAGATGAAAATCAACTCCATACGACCCAAAAAAAACAATTAACTATTAATTTTCATCTGTTGTCAGCAAAACCGTGCCAGAAATTGAAATACATTCAAACGCTAATACATACTTAACTATAAATATATAAACGTTAAAAGGTCAACAAACAAACCACACTTAACAAAGACTGAGCATTTCAAATCAGGATGTGCTATTTTGTTGCAACTTTTTCAGTGTTTCTATCTACAAATATTGAAAGTCCAGGAACTACTAATTAATTTGCACCAGGTAGTAAAATCATTTGACAAAAAAATAAGAATGCACTTCTTCTATTCAGTTAAAATTTTCCTAGCATGCTTTTTACATTAATACGGCACACTCTTTAGAGGAAACAACAACAAAAAAAAAATAGAGGCAAATTTCTACGAGTGGATTTGATTCACTTTAAGGCTCGACATGACAGCACCGCCAACTGACAATGAAAGGCGAAGAAAGAAGTCGAGAACCAACGTCTACTTTCAGATGACTTGCGACCATTTACATCCAATCCTTGACCCACTTCCCAAGGTGGTGGGTCAAGAATTTTAGATGTGGTCATCATTGCTACAAACATGAAACCACGGGTTGGGTACACCGTCGCTCTGAGGGAATTTTGTTTGACTGAAACGGACGTTAGCAGTAAGTCAAAAACATGCACCCAATCCGCTCGCAGGAATTGGACTCATGCTACCAAAAATCTTTTTTTTTAAAGTTTCTGATTGGATGGATTGAAAAAATTGCGTCAAAAAAGGCACATATCTTAAATTACGATAACACTGAAATCAATCAAGAATTCAGAGGCAAAGCGTGACGTTTTACAGGGTACTAAGGACAGAGAACTTTGCATTCACTACATACTACAGTATAAATAAAATAACAAATACAATAGATACACATAAAAAAGCCATAAAAACTTGGAAGGGATGGAGTTCTAATACTTGAGTTCTTGGAACTGTAGGAAGAGCACTTTTAAAAACATAAATAACAAATTTTTGGGAAGTTGTAAATACATCAGATTTAACCACAATCAACCTATCTACATTTTATGGTGCTTAATTTCCTCTTGCATTTGAATACTTTTTTCTCAACAAAAACCTACAGAACAAAGCATCTTGAAATATTTTGTGAGTTTTCTTTGATTTATAAAAAATTACTCTTAAAAAAATGAATTACACAAGAAAATTAGGCAATGTTTGGGTGTAGTTAGGCTGTTTCTGGATTGTGCCCCTCAATTAAACTTGAAATTCTAAATACTGATATTATCACATGTGAGAACAAATACGAGCAGACCCGGGCATGATAAAAATCAATATGGACACTTACACATGATGTATGGATTTTACTGTTTGGTTAATGTCTCCTTTTATAAACTTCCCTTACAATTGAAGGTCGCTTAGCGAAAGGAATCTTATGAAAATGGTAGTGTTATGAAACGACGTATAGTCTAATTATGAAACTTTGGTACATACATGTTTCTTTCAAACCTCCCTTTGCAAATCACTTTTAGTTAGTGACATCTAATTCTTTCCAGAATAGTGGGTGTAGAGAGAACCAAGGGGAATCTGGGAGAATTTTTTTTTTTATGGAAATACTTCACAAAATTAATAAGAAACTGCCCTGGTCTTTGATTGGGAGAAAAAATAACAAAATTCACAGAGTAATGATTAATCAATAAATAAAAGCACAGGCTGTTTGATCCAGATTGCCTGCAAAAATCATACTCACAATAAAAAAACAACCTTTTTTACTTGTACATGCAGTCTTAGAAGATAGTTTCCGCTGCTGAGAGATTAGGATAAAAAGCTACAACGATTTAACAATTGACATTGTGATACAAAGCTACAATCTATGATTTTGTCAATTCCAGAAAAATAATTAACTTTTACTATAAAAAGGTCTAGTGCACACCTGGCTAATTTCAAGGGGGGAACAGGAGACACTCAGAGAGGAAAATTTGAGCTCCCCACACTTGACCTCTACGGAGCGGATACCTGAGAAGTTTCAAAATTCTAACAGAGCTAATTAAACTGGAGAGTGACAAATTCATACTCTATTGGATGTAGGGTGAGTGCATTGCATTGCAAGGTACATTGCAACATCAGTCTAAATATTTAGGCAATCTTTGTCAATTAAATATTTTCAAGTTGCAACAAAAATACTAATGCCAATTAATGAGAATGGAATGTTGAAGGTCAAATGGCAAAGGAATGATCAGTAAAACTAGGGTCAAGACTTCGGCGGAAAATAGTACAAGAAATACGCTCCCTAAAAAATAGACAAACAGATAACAAGTAATAACACTTCATAAGGTCTCAAAAGTCTAAAATTTAAAATATTATTATCATCAAAATAAAACTGCTTAACATAAATAAAGAGTATAAAATTACGCAAATGCAACCCAAATACGCAAATGTAAATTACTAGAGAATTTATCTATTGTTTCGAAGACAAATAAATTAAAAATAAAACGCAGATATAAATTAAACAACATTGCCCGTCTTTTTAAGATTTGCTATGCCACCGAAGGAACGGATTGAGTCCAGCAGGACATCTTTGGGATTAATATCTCTTTTTGGAACATTAATCTCCCTCCGAGATGCCGGCTTCAATTTGGGCATCACAAAGGCTGGCGGTGGCGACGGGACACCAACAAATTTTTTACTAATATTTGAATCACGCTTTTCAAAATCTCTTTTTGCATCCGCAATTTTGTCAACTGCACCGCCAGAGCTCAGTCGCGAATCTCTTACAGCAGCTTTCCTTTCATCTAAGATAACGGACCTCAACTGATTCGACTTTTGACTATTTTTTAAGTGATTCTCACTGAAAGTCGAGTTTTCTTTTGAGAAAGAACGCTCATAAGGGTACACAGGCCTTGGTTGTTCTTTGATTTCGGAAAGACCAGTTCCGTTTACCCGTTCATTGGACGAGGAGTATCGATTGACATTTTTTGGCCTATCAAATCGGTTGTATGATGCTAAAGAGACTAAGTTGTAATCAGGTACTACAGAAGGCATTGAGAATCGGGAAACGTTCTTCTTTAATTCAACAGATTTGACTGTTGGTATTCGCGAAATCCTGTTTGTTTCTTCTATTTCTTCTTTACGTGAAGTTTCGTCGACCTCACAGATGGGCTCTTTATCTGATGAACCAGAGAAGAGATTTTTCCTCGAGTCTCCATAAGAGCGAAGTCTTGAAGGCGGAGGATCAACAAATTTTGGTGAGCTAAGCTTGGTTACTTTGGGTACAGGATAAGGCACTTTGAATGTGTTTGATTCTGATTCCCGAGTGATAGGCTCTTGTAAGTCTGACTCCCTAATTTGAGTGAAAAGAAAAAAAAATAATTAGTTTGAGAATGACATTTCCTTCAGTACAACATTCTTTACATCAGATAAAGTATGAAAATGAAGAACATTTTGGCTAGTCTGAATTTGAAATAATAAAGGTTCCATTGATTACTGTCAAGAAATAGTTGTATGTTATTTCAAACAAAACAAAAAACAGATTAATACTTAGGCTGCGCCGCAATTTATTGCGCAGTTCCAGTTCTACATGAAGCAAAAGCTATGAATGATTATTCTTTGGCCAGCCTTTGTAGATTAATAAGAGCAAGTAAGGCTTCGATGATAAATTTATCGTACGACTAGGACGTGCATGCGACCATAGATGGCGCGTTAGTTAACACCAATATGATAAATGGTTTTTCCCCACTGCCGGCTTATGTCGGGGGGTGGGGAGGTTAAATAGTTGTTCCACCTATTTATTCAAATTTGTAAATCATAATTCATAAAAAAGTTTATACATTTGCCAACTTATCTTCACTGCAAACAGAAAAAATCCCTTCATCACAAGCACTTCATTAAATTTAATAAGGAACATCATTTGAAAGAGCACTTACGATTCTCGGTTTTCCGATAGGTTAGAGCAGGATCTATGAAGTTTTGGCAATATTGTTTTCATCACCTGAAAAATAAGAGAAGATTGCAAAATTACTAGTCGAATACAATTGAAGAACTACAAAAGTATGCTAATTGAATGAGGAGAGAAGTAGCAATTTTCGTTGGAATTACACAGCAAGGAACTAAATGAGAAAAACATTTATTATTAAAGTTAAATCAACCCAAAATTAAAAAACCCAACCAAAAAGGAAATCCAAAACTAACAGACTACAACTAACAAGACTTTGATATTTCAGTTTCAGTGCAAAGTAAATTTCCAGATGCTCAATTTCAAATGATGCTGTTCAAATCTTGAGAGATTGATCTCCTTAATTCCTGATGCATGTAAATCCAGATGATTTTGATTAAACTCCAATGATTGCTTGCTGGAATTTCAGACCACTGCCAATTTCCTCAGCCAACTCTCTGTCCACATGAAATTCGCAAACTCTACCTTAAAATCATCGAGCCTAAATATAGAAATTATTCTGACAAATTCCCCTCTCGGGAATTAATAAACGATGATGCAGTCACAGCCCCAGGAAAATAAGTGTACCTGCCACTTGCCGAAGATGAATGTTATGAGAACAGGTCTTGTGATGTAATCTTTTACCTGTTTGATGGGGGGGGGGGGGGTGTTGTTTGTTTCTAATTCTTAGAATTATATTTTTAACATAGATGATAGAGAGTTACCTGCAAAGACTGGAGCCCTGAGTCTGCTTCAATACCACTGGGATTTTTGAAAGGTGATCTATTTTTCCAGGCACCCCAGCTTGTTGAGCAATTTTCTGAAAAAATCGAAAATTAAAAATTGAGTCCAAAAAGAAAAAGTTTAAAAAACATAGTCAAGTGTACATTTAATTACGTATTCACAGTAGTTTTTTGCTTATGACTATCATTTTGTAGGATATTTTATTCATGAAGGCCTACTATCTGTGTTGGAATGGAGTATTAATTGAGAGAAATTCTAGCTACATTGACTAACCTTCGTTCAAACTTATTTCGCTGCTGATCTTCCTGAGATTTGATGCCGAGCAATACTTCAAGATGTTTTCATTAGACGCAGCCAAATTACCATTGGACACAACTTTCGACTTGAGATTTTTGAAGGTTGGTAGATTCGACTTAAATGCCAAATCACTAGCTCCAATGGTGGATAACGAAACATGGGATGTCGAACGCTGGACCGGTTTTAACGGGCGTCCAAAAATTGCACTCTGATCATAGATTATCGACATGGATTTCTTGACGTTTGACTCTTTGTACGGGTCATTAAACGATGACGACTCCAACGAGTCAGAAAGAATGTGGATTGGCTTTTTTATGGTGTGGTATGCAGATATTTTGAAGTTGTCTAACACACTGTTGGAGCGTTTCAACTCGGGCTGCTTGAAGGGCTGGAATTTTTTCGCTTGGAAATTTTGATCGGTGATGGTGGCCTTCAACTCCTCAATCACAGGAGATTTACTGCCACTGTTCTTCCTTTGGGCAGTGCTTCCGGCAGTTCCTTTGGGATCAACTGCGCTATTACCTCTTCCATTGATGGTAGGCGATGTTTTTTCAACGTTTCCAACATTGGTAGGAGCTATTGGGTTGACAGATAAATTATCTTTTGTGCTCGCCTTGGATTCTTCCACAACAAATCCTGACGGGGTGCCTGAATTTTCAGAACTGACATCTGACAAAGATTTAGGCATTGCCAAGCTAAAGGAGCAAGAACTTTCTCGCACAGAATCATCATCCACTCTACCGCTTACACATAAAACTTCAGAGGTCTTCATCTGCTGTTTTTGTGTATTTGCTTCGTACTTTTGTGATCCTAGGTCTGAATTCTCGTCATGAGTCATATCATTGTGTGGTGTTCCATCTCCTGAGGAAGAAGATTCTGAATTATTCATATTAGGCTTAGTATCCTGATCGTCTATTGGACTGGAAAGTCTTTCCTTCAAGTGATCATTCTTAGGTGAGGGCCCGAGAGATGAGGGAGGAGTGTTTGTCGATGACTCGTGGCCGTGCGTTGCACTGTTAAAAATGCGATCGATTTCTTCATCATTCATTTTCATTTCTGACTGCGAGGAATCTGAAAGAGAGGTAAAAGGTTGCTCATTAATGCAGCCGAAAAAAATTAACATTAGGATCAAGAATAGGAAACAAAATTGTCATGCAAAAGTAGATGCTTCACACAAGACATCACGCATCATAGCAAATATGAGACATTTGACAGGACTTCATTAATTCTCATCAAAAGGAGAAAGATATATATTTGTTTGAATTCAAACTGATTTAATAAGATTGATTTAAAACCTGGGGGACAAACCCCAGAACACGGAAACTCTAAGAAATTTATTGTGACCTGTTATACATTCAAAGTACACCTTTAGAAACTGTCCTCCTTAAAAAGTGCGACAGAGCTCATCCAATTTAATACAAAAGTAGCATTCATATATTGATTGCATCAAATTCAATTTAAACAAATACACAGCCTCTTTTAATGCTTTCGATGAAAATAATAAATTTATTACATATTGAATACTCAATATTTGAAGTAACTAAATTAAATTAGATGAAAAGATTTAGTCAGAAGTTTTACCAGGCTTTTACTTTAAACTAGCTCAGCGACCTATTCATTTAGTTTGGGTAAAAATTAGACTGAGTTTGTTTCCATTTTCAATTCAAAATTAGACAGAGGATATCTTTCTTAAAAATGTATTATATTGGGAATAATGATCAGTGTTTCAACTTAACCTGCAAAAAAAATTCGCTTGTCAACCGAGATGTTTAATATATTGACTCAGCACTCTTTTCTGTTGCAATTTTTCTTCTCGCTAAGTTCTATATTCTAAATTGACCTGGTTAGAAATAAGTCCATCATTTAAAAAACAAGGAAGTCTGCAATTTGAATTTTTTTTGTTAGAAATATAACAATAAAAGCTGATAGTAGAGAGTTGTAATAAACCTTCAATTAGTGCCCATAGACCTCTTAGTTTTTTCCCTCTTGATTCTTGGCCAATAGTCAGTTTTTACTGTTCCAAGTAAAATTAAGTTTTACACAGAAGGCCCTTTTTCGAACAGACAAATTCAAAATTACAAATTCCGGAGCATTCATGTGTTTTCTCGGATATTCGCTGCCAATATATCCTCTCCTCTTATGAAAAGAGTAAATAAATTTAATTGTCTTCAACAGAGTATCTCAAATTTTTAGGTTTTCTGTTTCGCCCATGATACATTTTTTGGTGTCTTCTGTGTGTTTTTTTTTTTTTTTTATTTACTATGACTAAAAGTAGAAAAAATTACCTGACAAATTAGATGCTTTGCTGAAACAGTCTCTTTCTTCTTTTTCTTCCTCAAAAGAACTTCCGGCAACGTTTCCCATGGAAGAAGATCCCTCTGCAACCTGTGGCACGCACTCAACCTCTGGGAGCTTGGTATTGGCAGGCAACGTTGCAGCTTTCGCCTCGTGGACGTCTACAACATTGAGGCAACTCTGCGATGCAGAACGCTCACCGAGAGGTGTGCTTGGTTCCGAATCGCTCGGAATTGACGATGCACAAAGCGAGGAAATTGACTCAGTTTCTGGACGACTGCAAGATGATGAAGTTTCTTCGTTGATTGTTGATTTCAGGAGGAATTTAGGTGGAGGGGATGGAGCTTTTTTCTTGCGTCCTGCAAGAGAAAAATAAATAAATTTATCAATTACGAGTTTTTATCCATAAAACATAAAGTTTATAAGCCATTAATTTAAAAAATACCCAAGCGAGAGAATATAGGTAAAAATTTTGAATAAAAACGTTTTTCAAAATAAGCTCAATATGAAAAAGACACACTTGTGCAAAAATTGTGATTCATCTGACAACGCAAGTCTGCCTTAGTAAAGCCAAAGCTAGCAAAATAAAATTTCAGAGCAAAAAAGATATTTTTCATTTTGATTCTTTTTTTTATATTTAAAATGTCTAAATTTGAAGAATTGCTTGCAATTTGATTTTTTTGCTGTGCTATAATACCTGACTAACAAATACTTCGGAGCCCTTATATTGCCAGTTGTAAAAAAATTCTCTAAATGACATGACTATAAAACAAGAAGATTAATCCAACATGAATATGTTAGAAAAGCGTGCCGAATAACTGAAATGTTGGACACATACCTACTATTTTCATGTCATTGCTATTGGTTTCAATTGGTACTTTTTGCCAAATTTGGGAGCGAATATTGATTCATGAACGTTGAATGTAAATTAATTTTAGAGATACCGTCTAATTATCTTGATTTTAAGCTGATATACGGCATTTGCGCACGACCGCAATTTGCGGCAAAGTGCCGTGCATCAGCTTCGAATCGAAATAGTTGGACGGGATTTTAGAGCGTTTTCATCATAATTTCGTGCTGGAACTAAATTTTCATTGATTCGATGGCTGAATCGGTTGCTAAAAAAGCAGGCCATTTTTGGAGGGCTCTATGAGATAGTCCTTCAATTATCGGCTCTCAGGAAATTATCACATGGCTAAATTAGTAGTATAGGTGCTCGAGTGCATAAAATGGACCGCGTTAAACAGAAAGGAACCAAGCCACATCAGCTATTGCCACATTTAATCGGGCGATTTAATTTTTTACATGAAAACGGTTGTGCGGATTTCTGTGCAAATCTCAGTGAATTTTTTCCATAATACAAAGCAAATTCCTTAAAATTTGCAAAGGAATCTGCACAGGCGTTTTTTCGTAAAAAATGTAATTTCCCTGTTAAATTTGGCAATAGCTGATGTGGCTTGGTTCCTTTCTGTTTAACGCGGTCCAAATAATCGTATTTAAGATACTCAGGCATTAAACTATTGAGTTAATTTCTTTTCAATAATGTAATGGGATTTACTACCTGTGATTTAGCTATTATAACCCCAAAATACTTTTAAATCGCCTTTTTCTCCAGGATCTACACAGAATTTTTATTTTAGCTTAAATGACTCAAGAGACACTGTAGTTCAAGAATCTACAGAGTTTTCAATTGTGGCAGATAAAACAATTTAAACTCCATTCAGACACACCATGTATTCTATGGCGTACAGCTGCTATTCAACTCTTGCCTTCAGGTCAAATTTCTTGGAAAGAAGCCCCACGCAAAAGACCAATTTTTTGTAATTTTGCCCCAATTTTTGCTCCGTTACATGGTTGAATTGCTTGTAAAATTTTGAAGTGAATGATATTAATAATGATTAACATTTCTTATTTTTTCCTTTCTTTTATTTTTTGCGTTGAGAGATCGCATTGAGCTAATCTCTTTGGATTTCGAAAGGTATACCGATTTTGTAACACAAAAAACAGTCAGTACTTTTAATTTTAGACACCCTTCTATTGAAAAGTGCTCAATTACAACGATTATAGGATGAATCAATTTGCCACAAAATCAGATGTATTTTAGAGGAAAATCTCAAACAAAGTCCCCTGTGAATATCAAAAAAATATCTTAAACAACGAAACTTACTTGCGGCGGAGGGAAGACAAGTTGTAGACACGGAATGGGAAATAATACTAGGAGCTTTGTTTAAGTTACTGCCCACAGCAGTTAAATTTGATAAAGACCGTGACAGATTGGGCATAGTCTGATACTGGGACATCTCTGGACAACCGTTCAATTTGTTCTGACATGACAATGACTCAGAAAAACAATAATCAATATCAGGACTTTCGCCCAGCACAGATGTTTCGTGGTACCCAGAACTGTCAGAGCTATTTCTTGAATGTGATATTACAGTGGCATCCGAGTCCCCAGAGACATCAACTTGCGCCGGTGCTACCTGCAAGAGAAAGAAAATAAATTTTTTTAGATTTAGAGGTGATCTACATTGACATAAAAGTGGCTAAGTCCTCAAAATGACGTCTACCCACCTACATTGAGGCTGAAATTCCAGCATCCATGAGAAACTGCCAAATTCAAACTAAAACAACTTTTTTTTTGCTGAAAAATTTCCAGGACCCACAAACAACAATTGAACATACTGATAGGCAAATATATTTTTGAGCCACAGATCATGCACATAATTTTTGATTGAAATAAGCAAGAATCGGGAAAAAATGGAAGTCCATTTTGTAATACTGAAACACAAGGAGCTTCTCTAAAAGCCCCTTTGGTGGGTCTGTAGCACGCAAAGATACATCCACATAAATACACTCGTAACAGGTAAAATTGTACGAAAATTACGTTGAGCAAATAAAAGAAGTCTGAAATTCATTCCTCAGTGCACAATCTGCAGTTTATAACACGCTTTCTAAGTTTCCTGCGTTTACCGGCAGTTTTTCTCAGTCACCTCTGAACAGATTTGCACAGGCAGAGAAGTCAGAAAAACTAATTTGAGTGAACGAACAATTTCACTAACTTTTTAAGTTGTATCATATGTTTTCAATTGTTTTCTAGCATTTGCTACCTTTTTCTTTCTTTATTTTGCAAAAACAAAAGCTTAGAATCAATTGGAATCTTACGCAATGAGAGTTTATAACAGTTCGCAAGATTACACTCTCATCCACTGTTATCACCACTGATACTAGTGACCCACGGGCATAAAATTAGACCTAAAAGGACCTTCAAACTCCAATCATGAAATTGAATCCATTCCTTGAACAAAAAGGCTCTTTCTTCAATCGCAGAATGTAGATGTCTTACTTTGTTAAAAGCGTCCAGGAGACATTCAGACCTTACCTTTTGATTTGAGGTCTGAGGTGGCTTTGGAGCAGGCCTCCTTTTCTTTGGAGGTCGTGTTGGGATGACCACTGGGGTGGGTTGCGATGATTTCTCACTTCTATTGGTTTCACTAACGTTTTGCGCAGAGGAATTTAGCTGAAAAGAAAGATGAAACACACTTAGAAGAGACCGGAGTATTAAATGCACTTACAGCCATGAGAGAATTGTTGATGATTTGTTATATGAGGTTCCCACCAAAACTTTTAGTACTGTAATTAATATGTATAAAAGTTAATGTTTTCCACCTGCTCACATACTCACAAAGTAAAGCAACCATTCAAAACACAAGTTCTGGCATGAGTTAATTTAATCTACCATGATAAGATTCATACAAAAATTTTAAAACCCAAGCAGTTAGATTTTCATAAGGAAATAGGAATTTGAAGAACTGTAGAGACGTCTACTTTGCCTGAAGTTACAAGAGAAAGTGTCTTTCAAGATAAGAGATGCGTCCTTTTGTCAGTTCCACTTATTACATAAAAAATTCACACTCAATGCCCTTCAAAAGGAATAAAAAAAGTTACCGAACCAAAGTCAGTCTTATGAGCAATATTCATTTGACATTACATTTATTGATTTGACTACAGACACGTTCTTCGGCTTGTCAAAAAAGTGACATGTTTATGTCTTTATGTCTATTAACTATCAACAAATTGATTATTTAGTTATGTCGTTTGATGTAGGTAACCATATTTGGACTTGGAACTTTCCGCAGTTTATCAACATTTTTATTTCTATTTTTGAAAAATTTTGAATGAGATATAGTCGGTTCATTGATTACGAGAGCAATTCGACCAAAGTAAAAGATTCTGTGCTAAAACTTACCGATTGTGTTCTATTATAATTTATTTGGCGATCTGGACTTTTGAGCTGAGCAACATTAATACTTGACATAGAAACTGAGCGACTGGGGTTTGAAACCAAAGCTACTTGCGTTAACTTGTAATCTACTAGACAGAGATTTGTGTCCAATACTTCTCCTAGGTTGTCTGAAAAATTTTAAGTAGTTCCTGTTATATTTACCATGCCTAACAAAGATTAAGAGTGCAAAGGTTAGGAGTGCGAAATCCCAGGGTTTATTTTCTTTAACACAAAAGAATGTTTATCCATTTTTAGCATTTACCCTGTTTCATGAAATTTCCCTACTTTTCCATGAAAAAGTCAGTATGTTTTGCCAATAGAAAACATTTTCCACTCACATAATAATGGTTTATACAAGATTTGGACTTAGGCTAATTTGTTCCTTCGGAACTGTGCTACTAATTGAATCGACGTATGCGAAAACATTCATTGTCCAATACAGGGTTTCATGGTTGCGGTTGGTTTCTTTTGTCTCACGACACTGACGAACAGGATCGATCTCTTTTGTAAACGTTTAATTACACTTACAGGATTATTAATAAAATTGTTCTACATTCATAACGTCTTAAACCATCTTGTGTCGTTAAGTTACGACGAAATTGTCCACTCAAATTCTGAAACACTGTCTTGGACATCGGACGTTTTCGCATACATTGATTCAATTATAATGTATAAATGTTTTAGTTCTGCATTAACAATTGAAAAAAAAAGACAGTTAGAGGCCTAGAAATAAAACTGAGACATCACTACAGCAAGGAGCTTGTGTGGGTTGGTCAAAGTCAGACCAGAGGCAAGATGTCTTTCAAGAGGAAAAATGTGTCTCTTAATTTAAGTTCATGGGAAAAAATCTTCACACTCACGTTGGGGGAGAGAGGAAGGGAGAGAGAAAGAGTCCTCGACAAAACAACAAAACAAGGCAGAACAAGTGTACCGTTGTTTGTCTTTAAAAAAAGATACACAAATGGAAATTTTGAAATGCCACAATCGAGTCATGTGATCTCAGGACTTAGTCATCATTAAGTTGCTTACTTTTCTTAGTAAAATGGTAAAATGAAAAAGGAATTTCCCCAACATGATTTGCAGTTATGTTTCTGAAATGACAATTGAGTCCAAAAGATTTTTAAAGAAACATAGTACGGATATATAAACTATTCACTTACTTGGGTGTCTAATTGAGTATTTGCTGGGGTCTAAATTTTTTTCCAAGCAAACATGGGTGAGGATGTCTGCTAATTTTATTTTTGGACTTATTCGTGTGACATATAATTGATTTCTGGGTAAAAAAACCTGAAAAGAGACAAAAAATATAATGTAAAAACACAATCAGCTTCTTAAAATCAAAATTCAGGTTTCGATACAAAAGCTGGCTTTTATAGAGTTTTTGTTTCGCCTCCTTTAGGAATGAAAAACATGAGTATCAGAACTTCCACTTCTCAGAGAATACAAAAAACCATTTTAGAATGTCTAGGAGTATTATATCAACTAATTTTTGATACCTAAATATGATCTAAGTGTAAGACACAATTCCTTTGACTTCAACAGTTACTTAGAAAAGAAAAAAAAAAACCATTGTTTACTTATGTAAAACCATCTCAGGAACCAGACACCATAAATAGCTAATTATGAGGAATAGTAGGACTTGGAATATATTTCCTGAGGAAAGCGATTGTCAACTGCCATTCAAAGGGGCGTATCAACATTGTGATGAAATCAAGTCTCCTTGAACATATTATTTTTTTTAAAAAAAAAATCGTGGTACCTTCCAGTTGAAAACTTAGGTGGAATTTCATATTCATATAGACAAATAATATTGCAGACATTGTCAAAAAATTCGGAAAATGTATCATCCGATAAATGGTGTAAAATGAAATGATCACAGAAGCTTTAAAAACTGTTACATGCATAAGCTCCTACATGCAGTAGGCACCAAAATTAAAATTCAGGAAAAAAGAAACTAAAAGCCTTAGTTCCACAGTAGCCATGTTGATGATACATCATATTCATGTTATACACACTAAATAACTTACTTGAAGGCGGAAGGTTTGTTCAAATGGGGCATTGACAAGTTTCAATTTCTGAGCATTTGCTGAACTAATCTGATTTTTAGGCACAATATTGAGAGTGCATTTACCAAGTTCACCTGAAAAAATTAAAATTAAGGAGATTTAAAGTCATATAAGTATTCTCATTCATTTGAATGCATGTAATTTGTTTTTTTCTTTTTTAAATCTGAATGCACCTATGGATACAAAGAATCAAAAGAGACTTTTAGGGGAAGGAAGGGATAATCAGTTTACATGAGCTTTTGTAGGGAAAACGATTTTTACTGATCAAAGAAAAAAACGAAATAGAAACCAAAGGAGAAAGACAAAGAATAAAAAAATAAAACTTTTCTCGAGGAAAGAGGAAATTCAGTCACTCAAAGAGTTATGTAAGGGGTATTACATAAGAATTCCTGAATAAATAAAAGGATAAAATGGCATTGAATACCTCAGAAAAATCCATTATACACTGATCATTTTTGGAAAAATTCTTGTAGATAATAACACAAGAGATAGCGCCCCCCCCCCTCCCCCCTTCACCTCATTAAATTTTTCATTGACGGTAAAATAAAGAATAAATATGATTCTCCACAAAGGCGGTCATTAAGACTCCTAAGTTAATCTTGCAGTTAGATTCAAGCAATAGACCCCAAAAAATCTTTAAACAAGGTTCAAACAAAAGGTCTCAAAGTTTTTTTGAGGAACGATCAAACAATGAATCAATAAAAGTTGAAAGTTAAGTCCAACACTACAGTTCTCATGGCAGAGAGAGGAAAGTGAGAAGAAAAAGGCACTCTAAATAGGGTTGCGATTGTAGATGTGCTATTTAAATTACATAGAATTGACACACTAATGAACTAGAATAGCGATCACTTAAATTTCACTTAAGGATGAATTACTTCACGCTGCATTACGCTTTAATGGATTGCAAGCACAGAGGGCAGACTAAAAGAGGCTTTAGGCAGGATAAAACTGGGGAGAAGGGAAAAGCCTTGTTTACATGAAGCAGGAGAAATGCGATACGACTGGAATTCTCCACTTTAGGGGCTTCCTAAGCCATGCATAAGTCACTGGGTGGCGTTGAGAGAGGCTTAGTGCACACTTGCAAATGGAAGTTTATTTTGGAGGGCCCAGCCTTGAGGCGAGTCTTTAACCAATGCGTGCCCAGTATTGACTATTAAACATTTCTTTTAACATCTTGAGGAACGAACCACCGAAGGGGGTCTTTATTTTTTTTCTTCTTTCTTCATACTTCAGTGCATCAATGAAAAATGGCTGAAATGAAAGCTTAACAAAGTAAACCTACATTTAAAATTACAGCTGGGGACAACACTTTTTTAGGTTCGCACTGTCGTCAAATTCATGCTTACAAATTGTGAAATATTGAAATACTTGATGGTTGCTTTAGTGCTAAAACCTGACTTTTTTCTTGATAAGAAGTTGGCAAAAATGCTTCATAAGTTCTAATTTGCCATCCATGACAATTTTGTCACATTGAATAGTAATAGTGGGCCATTGGATAAAGAGAGGAGCCTATAAACTATGTTTTTTAAGCATTAAGCTAATATTACATTTATATTGTCATTTCAGTTTTCAGTGAAATTAATTGCTTTGAAAATATTGTTTGGAATACAGTAAATTAGTAAAACTGCATTGAAAATTCGATTTTTCTTAGTTTTACATGACAATCTTATTCTAGAACATGATATTTTGTCAACGGGTAAAGAATGTAGTGAGGTAGGGCCTGATTCAGATAACTCATCCTTTCTTGCTGTATGCACAGAGTACAGAATTCCATACTCCGCCCATTAAGAGAAAAATGATAAGTTATCTGAAACAAGCGACAGGTATAAGTTTAAATTAAGCTGCACCAACATGATAATCAATAATTTCAATATTCGAGCATTAAAAAAAAAAAAAAAAAAAAAAAAAAAAAAAAAAAAAAAAAAAACTAGCAACAGTGTACCTAAAACAGCTGTTTTGTGCTGGAAATTTCCTATGAAATTTGCCTTGCAATTATCTTTCATTTAAGCCATATTTCTTTGACCTGCTCTGGTATCCAAAAAAGAGGCAATTTTTATGCAGTCTTTAAAGACATGCAACATGAGGTAAAACAATTTATTTTGAAAGATAAATGGGTGATAAATGTAAACGATCAATGCCTTACCAACAGGCGTGCTTGGTTTGTACGGAACAGTTCCATTCATGCCAGTAACATGGATGACATGACTTCCAGGAGAGATTTTGTGAGTTGTGGCGATCTGCACAAGTAGATCCATCATAGGCAAACTGCAAATAGATGAAGAATCAAAGTTTAACTGATGACTAATAAAAAAAAAAAAACATTCATGTCGGTGAGGGTATGAAATTCGTAAAATGCTTCAGTCAATTCACTTTACAAATTGAACATACAAAAAATTAGGAATGGTCAAAATAGGTTTTATTATTGTTTCAAACTATGCAAAAACATTTGATGAAAATTAAATTCCATGATTTCAGAATTTCCTTGTAAGACTGGGTAAATTACTAACATATTTTCTAGGCAAAGCCAAATGCATTTAAAATGAGTACGGAAGGAAAAGTAGATTAACGCTCTCTGACTTACTGAAATATAATTTCGATTTGCACTAAATTTAATGTTGTTAAAATCTCAAAGCACAGTGGGGTAATAACTGCTCTACATCATTCCTTCATTGTGAATGACAGCTAGTATTGATTGCATTTGACCTTGAAATCAGATACACACACACAGCATTGCATTTCCTAGGTTCTAGGAGGAAAACTAATCTTCAAGGCTCTCCACCCCAGACAAGTTCCCCAAAAAAAAACCAATACAAGTTTCCAATTGTCAAGTTGGTTCAAAGATTAATGAACCGGTAACCATGGGATTTTTGAAATGTGAAGCCACATACTTAAAATAATATTTATTTGACCAAACGCTCATCCAGGTATTTCCAAGAAGGGGGGGGGGAGGTTGTAATAGTCTCACCTTGCTTTGAAAATTTGATTTTCATTAGAAAAATTACTGTCAAATTAGGAGCATTATTTGAAATGTTTAAAATTTTACCTTCCCTACTCCCCCAAAAAACTAGTTGAAATTGATAATCCTGAATATTTCATCAATATTTTACATAAACATTGGCGAAATATCATAGGAAATTGCGTTTTCGTTTCAAGATTTCTTCAATGCACAAACCTATTCATTCACAAACTTGACTTGTACAATCTTGAAACATTTGAATGGTTATGCTCTGAAATTTGGACATTAACTCAGAATCGGTGCAGTCTATTAACTCATCACTTAAAACAATGATCCATTTTGAAGCTGAGTCATTGATAAAAAAAAAGCATAAAAACTGAATGGCTGCGATGGGATGATGAATACAACTTGAATGAGCATTGTCCCTGATTGCCAATTCTCAGACTATTTGTGAATTAAAGAACTGCAGAGAGGAGAGACCTGTCAAAATTCAATGTGAGTGATAAGTGGGTATGCTCTCCCCGGTATATTCTGCCATAACTCAGCTTTTGACTTTTGCCGCTAGAGCGGTGGCGCAAAATCTGAATTCAACAACTTAGCAGTCTCGGCCAAAAACAAATATGAGCAGGAGCTACAAGCCAAGTTATGGCCGAAAAGGTTGGGAAGAGCACACATACGTTTCTTTTACCTTGATAAAAATTCCTGACAGTATTATAATTATTATCTTGAGTCAAGTGAAGTTTTCATCATACCTTATTTCTGAAAAATAGATCCACCCAATTGAAAAAAAATTTTTTACCAGAAAGGCTTACTAACTGTTCCATTTAGGTTGCAAAATTCTACCTTCTGAAAATCTTTCTGGCGATTGAATAACATGTCATCCTCAAAAGGATGCATCACAACAAAATCTGTAGATTTATTTGGAGTCCTGTCTTAACATTACGGCAAAAGTTTTAAAAATGCCTTGAAAAAACCCATTGTTACATTAGTTTGAAGGCAGCCCTTGAGAAAATCTAGGACTATAGTCCTTCCGTCCATAGGAAGTGGAAGAAATCGCAAATTTAATACTTAAGTATTCCATATTCGGATGTTAATCATGAAAATTACAATGTGTGCCTTCACAGTACTGACCTTTTCCTAAAGGTCATGAGGATATCACGTCCACATGGTAAGACAACATTTAAATTGACCAGTCCTTTCAGCGGATCTGCTGCAGTGTTTTTTATGCCAAGTCCTGGAGGAGACATAGCGATCAGTTAAAGGCTGGAACAGAAAATGTTCATTCATTAAAACAGAGACATATCAAAAAAAATAAGAGCTAAAACAAGCAAGAGTTTTTTTTTTTTTTTTTTTGCCTCTTATGTTCGGCCATTTAATGTTTAAAAGCTGGTGTGTTCTGAAGTTAGATGTCCACAATGCATCTACACGCATGATACTGAAGGGCTTTTTTTTTATCCGAACCACAATGGACCCCAACAGAATGCATCACTTTTTTATCATGTTCCACTGGCCCGATCCAGTGCGTTCCATGTGTTCCAGTGGAACGCTTGGACCACTCTTCCAAGATTGAGGTTGGTTCAGGCTGGTTGAACCAGCCCAAACCGCTATCATCGCGTTCCACGGATAAAAAAAAAAAGCCCTTCCCAGATGTGGTGTTAAACCAAATGAGAATATAGACAGATCATGCTTTGTAGATTTCTAACCGCTATTAAGACCAGTAGAAATTCTCCAGTATTCAACCCTGAAACGATTGCGGAACATAAGTAACAAGGTATGAACTTTTATTCCTTAATCAAATGCCACGAGGAGACAGGGAATGATCGAACAGGTTCTGCAAAGAGAGTTGACAGTTAATTTTAATAGATGCTGGTTCAAATTGATTGAAGTAATCAATTATACGAGAATCATGCAGAAAAACCTGGTACTCATGGCAGGAGAAAAAACAAGAGGACAAATACAAGCAGCTCAAAATTAAGAACATTCGTCTTGCTTCATGTCATCCTACCATCTCCCATCTTAGGTTTTACTAACCGTTCAGAGCAGAGATGGACAAAAATTATTCGGTCAATAAACAAAGTCAATCAATTATCTTTATTAATCAAATAATGGACAATTGATCTGCCTCATCGGGTGGAGAATTCTGTGGGCCAAGCATTAAGTCAGCAGACCGAGCATCTAATCAGTGTTGTTGCACCAATATCACTAATTGCCGAATTATACTTTATCAACTCCGGTTTAGAGTTACATTAGGGAGGAAATGTTATCTATGTGAGTAAGTTGCATAATATCCTGCAGCCAAATCTGTAACGGTTAGATGAAATAATAAAAGCTTGCTGGCTGTAACAAATACTTAACTATGTTGAATGCAACCTCTTATCACTTCTCAAGAAATTAATGTCATTCCAGTCATTAATATCTAACAAAGGTACTAATGCAACTTTCCAGCATTAGTCGCGAGAAGAAAATTCCCATCAGGAAGTTTGAGGTGACGTTCAAAAGCATACGACTAGCCCACTTACAGCACTTGGCCAAGTAGGAGTTATTAACCTCAGCAAAGGACAATTGGCTGCATTTCTTTCACAGCAAATTCAGCATTCTTTGGTTATCAGCTACTCACTGACCTCAGATGAGGACGATCGTGATCAGAGATGATAGGAACCGAAAAAAATGGGAGGATAGACATACAACCGATGGAATAAAAGCTACTCACTTGACACGGTTCTGGATGATTAAAAAGACGGAATTTTAATTAGTGTTCGATGCATACGTAAGTTAGTTTCACTATACACTACAAGAACTTCGCGTAATTAGCTGGAAGAAACATCACACAAGACACAACACTGGTATGAATGACACTAATACAATCTAGGAAATCTGTAGGCTTATCTTGAAGATAAAATTGGTACAAACACATTCTTGAGAGTACATTTTCGAGCTACGTTAGGCTCGAATCCCGACCTGTCGGGCGATCCACTTGAAACTTCCACTATTGCGAAGACGGAAACAGGTATAAACGATCATGTAAAAAAGCTGCAACGGATGAAAAAAAGTTACAGGTGTCTAGAGAGAGATAGAATGAGGAGCAAACTGCATGCTGAGCTGGCAACTAGGCAAATGGCCACATTAGTACTCCGTGGTCCCGGTAGAGGCTCTAGCAGCAACCATGGACCAATCAGCAACCACTAGGTCGAAAGCGGGAAATTTTCATTTCATTTAAATTGACGCACCACACACCTATTACCCGTCGAGGTCGAGCGCGGTTGAAGTGTTGAATGGTAATTTTTAATGTTCAGTTTCCGAGAGATTTCTTAAAATTCCCGGGGAAATTATTCAACTGCTTGTGTCATTTGTTACTCCAATTTAATTAAAAAAAAGCAAGCGACTGAACCGTCAACTATTTTCCCCGGTAACTTTGTGATTCTAGGATAAACAGAAGAAATTCAGAAATTTGCGACAGGAACATTGAACACCTTTAAATCCTGGAACTCAGCGATTGATCAACGTATCTACTCCTGTAGGACAACAAAGTTTCAGAAATATTTCTAAAATATTGTCAACGTACCTTATATTTCTAAAGTTTTTGGACTATGTTAATGCGAGCTTATTTTTAAAATATTTTAAAACAAACCCATAGCTAAGTAATAAATATTCTTTCAAACTTTCCGACGTCATTTTAAAAATGTTTATGAATGTTGGCAAAATGAATTTTAAAAAATAATTTCAAAAGTTTATAACATATAAATTATTGCCAAGAATATGATTAACAATTTTTTTAAATAAAAATTGTTGAATTACTGTCGAATGAAGCATTGTAACGACTTGCAATATTTTTAAATTATCCTAGTAATATATTTTTCGTGTTACTGGGATAATACCTAGATCTGCCAACGAAATCTCAATGATTTCTCGGCCGTCGACATCTTCACATGAACCTGCTATTTTCAGATTATGACTTCATGTAGTTTGATTGCCACGAAGCTACCCTCCGCCAGGAATTAGGCTGTATGCGGAGGAAAAACGCCGAACCTGTGAACATCCGAACGTTGCCAAATTTACTGTCATGAAATAAAAATGTTTCGAGGAATTTCTTATTTGTTTCCCTTTGAATTTTACAGTGGGTTTTATTTACAGTTTAATCTCGTGGATCTGAAAATTTCGAGAGAAAATATTCATACCTCTTATCAATAATACATCTTTTATCGTGGGAAGTTTGCCAACCTACAAATGCTCATAAGACGTTTTTCTTTTGCACTTCAGAGTTGGCTAGTAGTGAGCCTCATAAGAAAATGTAACCTCTCTTTGGCACTGCGGTGTATTTCAACACCTACAACACATATCTTCGACTGTGCAAGTTTCCGTCATAATTAAATATTTAAATAAAAAAAGAAAGAAAGAAAGAAAAAAAAAAAAGAAACTTCGCTAATGCAGTTTACTCTGAAATACTATGTAAATTTTTTTCACTCGTTAACATTCCCCGCCCTCGTAAAAATTGGCAGTAGAATCTGTGTTCCAAAATACCATAGACCTACAGCCGGCTGTAAGATTTCCAATAGCTCCTACAGCCGGCTACACAATTTCTATAACCTTTTATAGCCGATGGCGATTAAGCAACAACCTGGCGATGTAGTGTATGCTAAACGTTACTAATTACGAATAATAGGACTTAGTGAGTTTTGGGAATACTGCAGCTCTCTTTTTGGGCCGTAGTATCTTGATTTATTTTGCGAGTGGGAGAGATATATTAATGAGTGGGAGAGAGATAGACGATAAAACGGCGGCTTGTCAAAGCCGAGTGTGCTCCTTTGACGTGCCGCATCTGAGTAATGAGTGCGAGAGAGAGAAAGGACAAAACAGTGTACGGACTAATGCAAGTTGAGCCTTAGTCCCCGTTCCGGCCGTTCTTTCCAGGGCTCATGGTCGGAAAGCACTCCGGTGTTTTTTCGGGGCATCCGGATTCGGGCTCGCCACTACCACCGCGAACCAAATTACGAGGCCCAGCCTGTATTTTTGCGAGTGTGTGTGTGTCACTTTGACGAGCCGCGGGTTGCCGCATCTGATCAATGAGTCATCGTTTTTCTACTCATGATTTTGAAATGTTTGTACATCCTGTATGGATTATTCTCATTTTAATAGATGAAAAAGAAAAATACGTATCAAAGGAAAATATAATGTGTGTTTTGTAAATATTGAGGTGGTTCCGTATCAAACTTAATGATTTCCAAAGCACACAAATTTTTACACAATTTTTTATAGCCTTTTAAAATTGATGGTGAAAAAGCAACAGCCAGGCGATAAAGTGTAGGCCGAGCGATAGGTACTATAGCCCGGCGATAGGAACTATGGCCCGGCTTCATAATCTTTTATCGCTTCGTATAGCCCGGCCGTATGATTTTCTCCGCATTCTACAGCCAGCTATATGATTTTCTGTAGCCTTCTTTAGCCGGCTAAGAATTCCTATGGTATTTTGAAACGCAGCTGTTATCGCCAATTTTTACCAGGGCGAAAATTTAAAGGAGATAATTTAGTTACTTCTCCCTTTAAAAATCAAGACGTACAGGGCCGGATTTACCAATAGGCTACATAGGCTATAGCCTAGGGTGCAACATTTTAAGGGGCGCAAAATTTTTGAGAATTTATTAAAAAACGTGACTTATTAAAAAGTGTCTACGTTGTGGTTGACAAAGGTGTTTTTTTTTTTTAAGGTGAATTTGAACATTTTCCGGACACTTAACATCCTCCTTCTGTTCTGGAGGGGAGGGGCGTCTGGGAGACCCCGCCCCGCTCCCCACGAGAGCGCCTACTTTTAGGGGCGCCACCCTAAGTTTAGCCTAAGGGCGCTAAACATGTAAATCCGGTCCTGAAGACGTAACTTGAGATATTTCGAAATTGAGATGCGATTTCCATTTGAGATGCGCAATCTTCGACTTTCGTCATCAATTTGTATTTTTTTACCATTTAAGTTTATCGGAAGTACTGATGTGACTACCTGCCAAAATAAAATTGCTAACGTAGTAAGAGGTAACACGCACAAGGAAGTCACGCTGATGTGTAGCATAAAAATAAGTTACGCCCTAAACTCATCTGGATTATGAGCCTAACCCGTAATAAGTGAATCCGGCTCGCTGAGTAATTAATTGCGGCTTCAAATGGTGCGCTTGAACGACGTGTTGACCGTAATTTTTACCATTATCACTCAATTGCGCTTTTATCTGCTCTCATAAACTAAGTCTGCAAAAATTCGATCCGCCATCAGTGCCTAGATTGTTGAATCGTTATTGAGTGGCTCTGATCGATATATCCCTATTTTAGCAAAGCTATCTGTCGATCGAAGTCATTCGATAATCGATAGTGAATCAGTCGATCCGCAGATGAAATAATGGAGCGTTTAACTCATTCTCCGGTCAAATTAAGTGTGTCAACACCCGGTAATCTCTGAGTATTGAACGCGAGTCTCACAATTTTGATAACTGCGCATTCGGGAATCGTCTTTTTACGTGTACTAAGGGAAAACGTTACATGAGCATTATGGCGTTGTTAAATTTAATTTGACAAACTAAGAATTTTATGGACTGTTAGTGAATTTTTCTCTTCGAACGTTTTTGAAGAATTTCCGTCATAATTGCTTTTACGTTTTATATTAAAATTTCAAGACAAAATATTCATAAATATTCGAAAAAATAAATTGTTCATCAAAGGAAATTTGGCGACATTTGGACCGCGTTAAGCAGAAAGGAACCAAGCCACATCAGCTATTGCCAAATTTAACCAGACGATTTAATTTTTTCCATGAAAACAGTTGTGCGGATTTTCGTGCAAATTTCAGTGAATTTTCTGCACAGTACAAAGCAAATTCCCTGAAATTTTCAAAGGAATCCGCACAAACCTTCTTTTGTAAAAAATTAAATTGCCTCGTTAAATTTGGCAATAGCTGATGTGGCTTGGTTCCTTTCTGTTAAACTCGGTCCATTTTATGGTTTATACGGCGTTTTACCTTGGAATGACAGTTTATTGTGCACTCAAACTTCTCACATTTTCGTTTTTTGTCATAGTTATATCAAGAGATCTACCATGCTGACTTTTTTTTTAAAATTATTCAGCCACTGTATGTTGGCTGGTCATGATCTCAATGAGCTTGCGGCGCCGCCATTTCCTAAATTTCCTTAAAATTGATCAAAACTGTCCCCGAATATATCAACTGAAGATGCAAGCCTAGGGCGGGCAAGAAGCCCCAGTAGCAATGGCTCTTAAAAAAAGCTCTACAAAAAGTTGTCGAAAAAAATGTAAAAAACTTGTAAATTTTAATTAAAAAAACTCTTATTTACTCGTTTTAGGAAACACTTTTGGGGAATTCTTTTAAGTAAAAAAAATAGTTTTATTTCAATTAAAAGAAAACGTAAAATTTACGTAAAAATCAATAAACTATATCCTCAATTTTTATGGGCTGCAACTGTTCCTTTTATACTTTTCTGTTCACCACTTTTTTTCCTCGTTTTTGCCCGCAGGAAGTTTAAAAAAAAATATGTGAATTTCCTTAAAATTAACTTAAAGTTTTTCTTCAAATTTATGTAAAAAAAGCCCCAAAAATGGTTTCCTGATACGAATATTTCAAGAGTTTTTTACGTAATTTTCAAGTGGTTTTGAAGTAAATTTTAAGAGATCTCTTAAAATTTACGAGTTTTTTACAACTTTTCTCAACAGCCACTGCTACCAGGAAGAGGGGACCCCTGCTATGGAACGCCCTCCTGCCCTCCTGCCCTCCTGCCCTCCTGCCCTCCTGCCCTCCTGCCCTCCTGCCCTCCCCAAATGATGTCCACGTTGGCTTGAAGCGCTGGGTGCAAGAGCGACACCTCTCGGTTTCGGTGTTTCAGAAGTTGCACGAGTATTTCATAATTTGGCATCGAATACATTTATATTTTTGGAAATTTTTCTAACTATACTTAGAATAAATGTATAATTACTTTCTTTTATTACTTACATAAGTTTAAAGTGTTCTTAACGAGAAATTTCAGAAAAAGCTCCCATGCAATATGATTTCCTTCAATAAAAGTCAGATTAGGTAGCGGACATTCTGAAACACCGCAACCGG